ATTAAATTACAAAATAAACCAAAATCCAAATTAATAAAATTAATTCAGACATTTGATATCTTAACTTAAACAAACCAACATGGTTCTGTTTATTCAGCCAGACACTATAATTATTTATACATTTGCAGATAAATATCCTTCTTCTTCCCTTAGTACTCAATTTTTTTTTTCAGAAGTTGGATTACAGCAGCACAATGACATTAATTTAAATTGTTGAGGGTTCTCAATAAGTCTCTACTCTCTGTGTAACACATGGCCAGTGTATCATCCTGGCTAAACTGCCATTTTCAAAATTCACTGTCACACATTTTCAGCCACTCAAAGTGGTTAGTACAGTACTGCAGTTTCATGATGTAGAACTTGAGGTAGAAAACTAGTTTGAAAATCAATCGCTACATATTTTAATATCACAATGCCCCTAATGAAACAACCATTGATATTTTTGAAATAAATGACCAGGGTTATCAGATGGTGTAGATTTAAGATTTCCTTCATGATTGTGTCAAAATTGAACGCAGGCTGTAATGTTGTCTTTCTGAGGGGACTGGTTCAATATTTAGTATATTATTCTTGATTGACCATAATCTATAATGTTTTTTTTCTTTACGCATAAAGTAGAACTCTCAATGGTGACATAACATCTAAAAAACAAAAGGAAACATACAAAATTATTCATTTCGTTACATACAGTGCATTCGGAAAGTATTCAGACCCGTTGACGTTTTCCACATTTTGTTATGTTACAGCCTTATTCTAAAATTGATTAAATTATCATTTTTGACCCCTCTGCAAAACATGACTTTGAAATATTCTTGATATGTTTGTCAAAAGAGAGATCAGGGTCCAGAGTAACGAGGTCCTTCACAGTTTTATTTGAGACGACTGTACAGCCATCAAGATTAATTGTCAGATCCAACAGCAGATCTCTTTGTTTCTTGGGACCTAGAACTAGCATCTCTGTTTTGTCCAAGTTTGAAAGTAAAAAATGCGCCGCCATCCACTTCCTTATGTCTGAAACACAGGCTTCCAGGGTAGGCAATTTTGGGGCTTCACCATGTTTCATCGAAATGTACAGCTGTGTGTCGTCTCAAATCAGATAAGATTTAAACCAGGCAAGAACTTGTCCGTGTAGACCAATTAGGGTTTCTAATCTCGCCAAAAGAATATGGTGATCGATGGTGTCAAAAGCAGCACTAAGGTCTATGAGCATGAGGACAGATGCAGAACCTTGGTCTGACCCCACTAAAAGGTCATGTACCACCTTCACGAGTGCAGTCTCAGTGCTATGATGGGGTCTAAAACAAGACTGAAGCATTTTGTGCACATTATTTGTCTTCGGGAAGGCAGTGAGTTGCTGCATAACAGCTTTTTCAAAAAAAAATTAGAGGAATGGGAGATTCGATATAAGTCGATCGTTTTTTACATTTTCTGGTTCAAGGTTTGGCTTTTTCAAGAGAGGCTTTATTACTGCAACTTTTAGTGAGTTTGGTACACATCCGGTGGATAGGGAGCCATTTATTATGTTCAACATAGGAGGGCCAAGAACAGGAAGTACAGTGAGGGAAAAAAGTATTTGATCCCCTGCTGATTTTGTACGTTTGCCCACTGACAAAGACATGATCAGTCAATAATTTTAATGGTAGGTTTATTTGAACAGTGAGAGACAGAATAACAACAAATAAATCAAGAAAAACATGTCAAAAATGTTATAAATTGATTTGCATTTTAATGAAGGAAATAAGTCTTTGACATCTCTGCAAAACATTACTTAGTACTTGGTGGCAAAACCCTTGTTGGCAATTACAGAGGTCAGATGTTTCTTGTAGTTGGCCACCAGGTTTGCACACATCTCAGGAGGGACTTTGTCCCACTCCTCTTTGCAGATCTTCTCCAAGTCATTAAGGTTTCGAGGCTGACGTTTGGCAACTCGAACCTTCAGCTCCCTCCACAGATTTTCTATGGGATTAAGGTCTGGAGACTGGCTAGGCCACTCCAGGACCTTAATGTGCTTCTTCTTGAGCCACTCCTTTGTTGCCTTGGCCATGTGTTTTGGGTCATTGTCATGCTGGAATACCCATCCACGACCCATTTTCAATGCCCTGGCTGAGGGAAGGAGGTTCTCACCCAAGATTTGACGGTACATGGCCCCGTCCATCGTCCCTTTGATGCGGTGAAGTTGTCCTGTCCCCTTAGCAGAAAAACACCCCAAAAGCATAATGTTTCCACCTCCATGTTTGACGGTGGGGATGGTGTTCTTGGGGTCATAGGCAGCATTCCTCCTCCTCCGAACACGGCGAGTTGAGTTGATGCCAAAGAGCTCGATTTTGGTCTCATCTGACCACAACACTTTCACCCAGTTCTCCTCTGAATCATTCACATGTTCATTGGCAAACTTCAGACGGCCCTGTATATGTGCTTTCTTGAGCAGGGGGACCTTGCGGGCGCTGCAGGATTTCAGTCCTTCACAGCGTAGTGTGTTACCAATTGTTTTCTTGGTGACTATGGTCCCAGCTGCCTTGAGATCATTGACAAGATCCTCCCGTGTAGTTCTGGGTTGATTCCTCACCGTTCTCATGATCATTGCAACTCCATGAGGAGAGATCTTGGATGGAGCCCCAGGCCGAGGGAGATTGACAGGTCTTTTGTGTTTCTTCCATTTGCGAATAATCGCACCAACTGTTGTCACCTTCTCACCAAGCTGCTTGGCGATGGTCTTGTAGCCCATTCCAGCCTTGTGTAGGTCTACAATCTTGTCCCTGACATCCTTGGAGAGCTCTTTGGTCTTGGCCATGGTGGAGAGTTTGGAATCTGATTGATTGATTGCTTCTGTGGACAGGTGTCTTTTATACAGGTAACAAGCTGAGATTAGTAGCACTCCCTTTAAGAGTGTGCTCCTAATCTCAGCTCGTTACCTGTATAAAAGACACCTGGGAGCCAGAAATCTTTCTGATTGAGAGGGGGTCAAATACTTATTTCCCTCATTAAAAAGCAAATCAATTTATAACATTATTGACATGCGTTTTCTGGATTTTTTTGTTGTTATTCTGTCTCTCACTGTTCAAATAAACCTACCATTAAAATTATAGACTGATCATTTCTTTGTCAGTGGGCAAACATACAAAATCAGTAGGGGATCAAATACTTTTTTCCCTCACTGTAAGTATTCAGACCCTTTACTCAGTACTTTGTTGAAGCACCTTTGGTAGTGATTACAGCCTCGAGTCTTCTTGATTATGATGCTACAAGCTAGGCACACCTGTATTTGGGGAGTTTCTCTCATTCTTCTCTGCAGATCCTCTCAAGGTCTGTCAGGTAGAATGGGGAGCGTTGCAGCACAGCTATTTTCAGGTCGCTCCAGAGATGTTCGATCGGGCTCAAGTCCGGGCACTGGCTGGGCCACTCAAGGACATTCAGAGTCTAGTCCCAAAGCCACTCCTGCATTGTCTTGGCTGTGTGCTTAGGGTCGTTGTCCTGTTGGAAGGTGAACCTGAGCGCTCTGGGGCAGGTTTTCATCAAGGATCTTTCTGTACTTTGCTCCGTTCATCTTTCCCTCGATCCTGACTAGTTTCCCAGTCCCTGCCGCTGAAGAACATCCCCACAGCAAGATGCTGCCACCACCATGCTTCACCGTAGGGATAGTGCCAGGTTTCCTCCGGACGTGAAGCCTGGCATTCAGGCCAAAGAGTTCCATCTTGGTTTCATCAGACCAGAGAATCTTGTTTCTCATAGTCTGAGAGTCCTTTAGGTGCATTTGGCAAACTCCAAGTGGGCTGTCAATTGCCTTTTACTGAGGAGTGGCTTCCGTCTGGCCACTCTACCATAAAGGCCTGATTGGTGGAGTGCTGCAGAGATGGTTGTCCTTCTGGAAGGTTGTCAAATCTCCACAGAGGAATTCTGGAGCTCTGTCAGAGTGACCATTGGGTTCTTGGTCACCTCCCTGACCAAGGCCCTTCTCCCCCGATTACTCAGTTTGGCCGGGCGGCCAGCTCTAGGAAGAGTGTTGTTCGTTCCAAACTTCTTTCATTTAAGAATGATGGAGGCCACTGAGTTCTTGGGGAACTTCAATGCTGCAGAAATATTTTGGTACCCTTCCCCAGGTCTGTGCCTCGACACAATCCTGTCTCAGGTGTGTGCCTTTCCAAATCATGTACAATCAATTGAATTTACCACAGCTGGACTAAAATCAAGTTGTAGAAACATCTCAAGGATGATCAATGGAAACAAGATGCACCTGAGCTCAATTTCGAGTCTCATAGCAAAGGGTCTGAATACTTATGTAAATAAGGTATTTCTGTTTTTTAATACATTTGCTAAAATTTCTAAAAAACAGTTTTTGCTTTGTCATTATGGGGTATTGTGTGTAGATTGATGAGAGAAAATAATTATTTAATCCATTTTAGAATAAGGCTGTAAGATAACACAAAGTGGAAAACGTCAAGGGGTCTGAACACTTTCCGAATGCACTGTAGTAGTCGCATTTTCATGCTGAGAGTCTAAAGCATTTAGATGCACATCCACTTTGCCAGTCTGGGTAATTCCCCTTGGCTTAGAGCTCGATAGACAAAGACAGTGGAAATCCACTTTGAATTCCTCGCCTTTATTTCCCCCGTTTCTCCAAGATACTCCCACATTCATTCCCAGCGGTTCGGGCATTATTCCATATAGGCTGTATCTGCACAATTCCAAAGAGGCCTTGTTCCGTAATGCCTACTTTTTTCAAATGCGGTTGAGGACAGTCATTCCTGCCAGCGGATTGAGAGCGTGGCAAACCCTGGCGTGGTTGATTTGTACAGTTTTAAGATCCACTAACCTGAGTGTTTGTTTCGGTAGAATCAGATCGACAGAAGGATGATAGTATTCACATGGATGAACTTCATGCAGTACAGCACTGTGGATGCCCCATAGGTATCCTTTCAACTCACTCTTTGGTCCCTTGGTTCCTTCTGTAAAGTCTGTTTCTGTTTTGACCAGTGACTTCCTGGTCCGACCAAAATCTGTGTTCAAACCGTGCTCTCCATCACCCACTCCGAGCTCTTGAACGGCGCCATTCCGCCCTCACCGTCTTCGCTGTCGTCGTACTGCAGTAGCATCCCATTGACTGACAGGCTCCTCTTAGTCCAGATGTTGCTGATGCGACGGGGGTAGCTGCTGAGGCTCTGTGCGCCGCCGCTGCTACCCACGTGGCCGTAGTCAAATGAGTGGCTCCTCTTGGGCATCCCTTCCTGGGACAGGCCTAGTAAATGCCCCAGCATGGTGGTGGACTCGGCCCGGCCCAGCAAGGGTTCCTTGTCAGATGGAGGGGCCTTGGTTATGGCCACCAATGCACTGGAGGTTGTGGTGGAGGAACAAGACACCCCATGGTCCCTTGTCGTAGCCGTGCCACGGAGCTCCAGTGAGACAAAGGCCCCTAAAAGGTTGTCCAAGTTGGGCCTGGCCTTGACCGACGATGGCCTCCCATGCCTCCTCCACTTACTGGTGCTGGGGAGTGTGCTGCACTTGCTGTTCCGAAGACTGTACTGGTCCCTTGTCTCCTAGTCTGCCTCTAGCGTCGCGAGTGTCCAGCGAGTCAGACGAAGACGAGGAGAGGCTGCTCTGGAGCGATCCACATTTGAACTCCACCAACTCATCCCGCATGACCACCACTGTGGTCGTGGTCTGAGGTTTGACCTGTGGCGGCGGGACACCATTGAGCCGGTTCAAGCCTCCATTGGTCTGCGAGTACGTGTTGCTAACCACAGGCAGCTTGCTGGACTGGGTGCTGCTGCACACTTTGTACCGAACCATGAGGATGATGATGAAGACGAGGAGCGTGGCCACGATGATGCCACCAATCACCAGGATCATGGTGCCACCCAGGAGCTGGCTGTGGAGTGACTGGCACTGTGGGTATTCATCACGGGTGATGAACTGGACACAGCCCACCACGTTGGTGGCAGTTAGGGTTGTGGCGGTGTCGTCCCAGATAGCCAGGACACATAAGTCATACTGCATCCCTTGGACCAGGTTGGTGACCAAGAAGGCTTTGCTGGCCACGGGAATCATCCTATGTAAAAAAAAAACAAGAGGGGAAACAAGAGTGTAGAGTTAGATGAATGTAGCATAGCGTACCATTAATCATTTGTCCCACTGCAAAGGGAGATCAAGAAGAGGCTAAGGCACTTTTGAGTGGTAAATATAAATGAGTCAGACCGGGACAGATCAAAGTAACAGTCTAAATCTCTCCCCAGAATATGGATCACACAGTCAGATTTAATATATGAAGCCATGTTGATATTAAAATATGTCTGACAATATCAATAAATGTACCTATCCTAATTCAATTCTAAAGGTTAGGAAGAGATTGGAAAGCCATGGTGGAGCAACCTTTACTCGGTTTGACCTTGTACTAATGACCAAAGGACAAGACCAAGTGAAGCTAGTGTGGGAAACAGTAATGAAACACGGCCATTTGTCTCTAAAGTACACCTGCGGAAAAACACACTCGTACTAGCAGCAACCGAATAGCCTACAAAACACTTGCATTGTATTGCAGACAGAAAAACACTCATACAAGCAGCCTCTGCCTAGCCAAACATGTTCCAATCCACGGTCACTGATGTTCCCTTTTCTTCCCCAAACGTCCCCCAGGTGGATTCGTAATTATGCGAGACTTGCTAAATGTGTTTCGAAGCCGAGGGAAAGCTAGGAGCTCCAATTGTTCCAGATGAGATCTCTTTCTGGATGGATATTCTGCCTAATTGTATCATTTAAAGATGTGCCAGTCAAGTGTGATAAGTGGAACATCTGGACGATGACAATGGTGTAGCCTAGGCAGCTGATAGTGCAGATCTGTCCTCTGTGGACCGGCTCGTACATAAAGCATCCTCCATTCAGGCTGCAAAGGCATACTTTTCTTCCTTAAATAGCTATAAAGCGAGAAGGTAGATTTTCTTCCAAATATGCATACTTTCTTTATGAAACACCATTTTCCATCACCATATTCAATGGTGGATATTGGACACCCTTGGCTGAATGCGGTGTGCAACATCCAAGTTATCCGAAAATACGAAAGTGCATATTTTCCCTGTTTTTTTCCACCTTCTCGCCATTAAAGCTAGTTAAGGAGGGAAATGATGCCTTTGCAGCCTGAATGGAGGATGCTTTCTATACAAGCCGGTCCACAGGGGACACGGGTGTATTACTGGGAATGCACATCAAGCCTAGGCTACCCATGGTGGGCACAGGTGAGAGGACAGATGGCTGGCGTGTCCATGGTGAGGCCTCATATTTGTGGGACATTCTGTATGCTGCTCTCCTTATAATAGACCTTAATTAACCCTCCCGTTGTCCTAGGGTCAAAATGACCAGCCACTGTGTTGAACCAACTGTATTTAATTTTTATATTTTTTGGATCATTTGTGAGAAGGAGGCAGTGAGACTTTAAAGAAAGTATCACTGCCTCCTTCTCACAAATGATCCCAAAAAATATAAAATTAAATAAAGTTGGTTTAACACAGTGGCGGGTCATTTTGACCCTAGGACAACGGGAGGGTTTTAACCAATATCCATATTGATGTCAAATTAAGTATATGTACAGTATGTTGGAGTAATTTGAAATCCCTATTTTGTAGGTGTTCATTGATGATATAAATTATTGATTGTTTCAGCCTCATCTCCTTAGTTAGCTAGGTGTTCGTGGAATGACAATTCATGTCTCAAAGAGTACAAACCATTATTCATTCTTAATAGCATTTTCCATAACCAGTATGAAAATGTATGCACTCACTAACTGTAAGTCGCTCTGGATAAGAGCGTCTGCTAAATGACTAAAATGTAAATGTAAACCCAAAGCTACTGATATTTGATTCCAATGTCCACCAATGGCACACAAGCAGGATTTGAACATCACAGCTTAAAAGGATTTCCTGACTCTTTGTGATCATTTAGAACTTATTGGAACCGTAGGGTTGTTAACCCTGGTGTCCTGGCTGTATTCCCAACTTGGCCTCATTCCATTATGGTCACCTAATTATCCATGTGGCTTCACCTAGGTGGGTGCTACACATTGGTCGTGGATGAAGTGACTTCTCTCTTACTATGCAAAGCACTTTGAGCTACTGGAGAAAACCAGATAAATAATATTACCAAATAAATCCAATCAATTATTATTCAATTATTATAACAGAGCAGAAAAAGGAAAATATTTACCTGTGAGAGAGAGAGGACAAACACATACTCAGTTTTGAAGCACCTCTAACAATTAAACATGATTATTATTTTAATTTTTTTACCCCAATCGTCAATAACGTCAATACTTCCCCGCTGTGACTGTACATAAATAAATAGCTTTGATCCTACAGTGCAGCGAGTGTACTTCCACTGCAGAAGGCTCACGTTTCCACTCAGCACCACCGGTGGTGTACTCCATTATTCATTCTTAATTCCCATAACCGGGAAGACAGCACGTTGCCTCGTGACATCTATACGAGGGGATTTCGACTCTCGAAGCACTGATTGATTTTTAATAATGCGCTTCCTCGGGTTAACGCAGAACTTTGTATATTCTCTGAGAAAGTGAACGCTCTAGAAATGTCAGTTAAGTAAGAGATGCCATTCAGGGACTAGTGGGATGTTTTTCAGGTGACGGTGGCCTTTTTCCAAAGGGCCCTGGTCACTATCAATGAATGGGACGTTTTTCTGGATGTACTCAAAAAAACTAGTTTGACATTTCCACACATCATTTTTTATTTCTAGTAAAGTTACACAACAGCTCAAAAAGGTATTTGGATCAGAAATGGGATTTGATCGCAAACGTTTGTAATAAATAGTCCTTGTCTATGTCCCAATTAGATCTCCTTCCTCCCAAAGTGGGCACTTGCTCACAAGAAATTACTGCTATAACAAAATATGGTGGAAACTTCCACTAGCCCATGCCTCCACCAATCCAATGCTTTTAGATTTGTGGGAAGTACTGAATGAGTGTAAACTTCGGGAGAAAATAGATATTATTAGGACACACCCCAAGTGTGCCAGGTACTGTATCTCCTCACACATAGACTACAAATAATCATTGGATCAATGAAGACGGGGTAGTAATGAAGGATCATTTATTCGTCTATTACACAACAGATTCACCATGCTCATAAAACACGATCCCAGATGACCCCTTATTTATATTTCAGAGTATTTATGTGCAACACAGAGAATCACTGAGCAGTACTAAAGCTATCATCTCCTAATCCAAGTAATTATGGGATATCCACATAAAATTTACTATAGATTTTCACATGTTCCTTTGTTATTTCACACCCTGGTTAAGGCTCTTTAGGTGAGACGTAGGTAACATAAATCCACATAAGACTTTCTTTTTAATTTGTCTAGTCCTTGTTATTTCTACCATCTGCTCGCATGAGTCACATTGGATTCATGTGTGGCTGATAGAAAAATAAAGAAATTATAGTTCAAATTTCCATGGAGACACTCAAAATGGCTCACACTACAAAAGACACCAATTAAAATATCAATATAAGAACATTGCTTGGGCTGCTTGTGTTTGAGCTGTCGTGCCTCCTGAGACGGGCTGACAGACTACGTAATTAACATATGGTCCTGTCTATTTGGTTGTGTCTTCTTCTCTATGGGATTATTAGCTTTAGGGTCGAGTGAGTTACACCACATGCTGAGTGAGGGCTCATGTGCATTGGAAAATAAACACATTTTCACTATGAAAGTTGTGGCTCAGATGATGCAGTTCCTAGACGAATGTTACTAGTGATAACCCTAAACTTGTGGGCTACATTTTATACTGGAATCACCTAAAATGTATTTTTGAAAACACTTGCCATTGTAAAGTGACATGAATGTGAGAAACTAATCATTTAGCTTTCTCCTACAAAGCAGAACATATCTTAATCTTACATTTAACATTTTAGTCATTTAGCAGACGGTCTTATCCAGAGCGACTTACAGTTAGTGAGTGCATACATTATCATACTGGCCCCCCGTGGGAAATGAACCCACAACCCTGCCGTTGCAAGCGCCATGCTCTACCAACTGAGCTACAGGGGGCCCGTGTGAAGTCCATTGGACATTAATTGATTTTGTACTCCATGATTATTTAATGCATATCGATGGACAGATGCTAACACAACAAAGTCATTAAGACAAGGTCTTAATTATACTCAATGTTACTCATTTATCATCCCTGGGTAATTAATTGGCTGTTGCAAATTAATGAGCAATGGAAATGTAAGCTGTTTGACTGAGATATGGAAGAAACCAGCCATTTTACAACAACACCCGCTCCAGATGAATAAGTCCAGAACTTTATACATATATACAGTATTCCTAACTTGGATCTGCAATATTTTCAGCGCCAGTGTATGTAAACAAATTTGTAGAAATGCAGGGATAAGAATGCATTAATATAAATTGTAGGTTGGTGGAAATACAGTTGAGTCACACACCCGCCACATTCATTGGACAGAGAAAAGCTATAGCTATATAGAGGAAATTATATTACTTTTGGTCTGTACGAGAGCAGGGTGGAAAAACTAGCATTGAATATGCCTGACGATCAAATCAGATAAATGTATCCTATTATTGTATTCTTAGAGATGATGAGTTCTATTCAGTCTTTTGAGCAATGTAATATCTCAACCCAACGCTGTGCATGATTTCAATTCGCATTCACCTAGTAAACCGATAAGAAACAGCAGATCTCCATAGTGTCTGCTCTATGTTATTAAACAATTCAGAAGTCGGGACTTGTATAAGAGGTCAATCTCGCAGGGCACGTCGGGCCATTATAAGGTAAAGTATTGGTATTCAATTTCAAGTGTTTCCGAAGGTTTATGGCCGACACATTACTTACTGTAACTGCCGCTTTATCAATTCCCGCACAATTTTGATGCATCCCAATAATGTCATTAACATACTAAGGGTAGTTAATCTCTAGGGGCAATCTCTAGGCACCTTTAATCACATAGCGTTATAGGGAGGCAGGGGAGATATATTGTTTACTCTCGGGCCTGCTAGTCTAGATGCGTTCAATGTGTTTCCCTTAACTTCTTATAGCGATGGAGTCAGATATGCGGCGGGGTATCCGTTCCGATAATTTTGCTGCAGCAGATGATTTATATCCTGTGAACAATGGAGGGAAATGCCTAGCTGTCAGGATTATATACGATTTAAGAACTTAATGCGTGTCAGGGCATTTCAAAAGCACACACTGGATCATGGGAATGACAAAATAGTATGTATTTTGTGAGCCACATGTATAGGAATCTTGACATGACATTCCCTCCCCACTCCATTGCCATGCAATTCTAATGCTATTAGGTTTAAACATGCTGTTACTAGTGTAATTACAACATTACTACACAGGCATAAGAGCAACCTACATGTAAAGTGTTGTAGTGCCAGGCTAACTGTCATATACTTATTCTCTGTTTTCTGTTCATTTGTTCTACTGGGAACATTTGTGGTTGTTTGTATCTCTTCCATCACTAAAGCAAGCACTTATTTTGCCAAGCTGGAAAATGTTTGGATGGCGGTGACATTTTATAGATTGAATGTCACAGAGCCTACAGATTTCTTTCTAAAAAAGTGATCTATTTATTGCTAATTGACTTGGGTGCTGTGATTGGGATAAATAGTTGATAGAAAATGAAAATAATGCTCTTTGTTCTTATGATTAAATTAATAAATAATTTAAAGGTTGGATTCTTTTTGTGGTTGGTTTCACTTTGATAAAAAATATGCACTGCAATTTTGAGGTGAAGTGCCTGGCTAACCGCTTGTTAATTGCAGGGGTAGGTAGGTATTGTTATTCTCTGAAGAATCTCTTGTCTTTATTGGGTTATCAAAAGCAAAAGTTGAGGAAAGGTTCAAGAGCATATGCTCAAGAAGGAAAAAGATGAGTGTCAATACTTATTTAGTGACTAAATAGCAACAGAATAGTTATGAACAATTGAAGTATTATAAAGTTCTGAAGGTCAGTAGGGGCCCTAGGGGCTTGTTAAGCAATATTAATAAAAACCCTCAAGTCTATTCTAAAAAAAGACACATTTTTAATGTTATTTACCTGTAAATCAGGACTTCATCTTCAGAGCAGTTGTACTGGAGCTGGTACATCTTGACCTTGGGTGCTGTTTTGCTAACAGTCCACTTGACCAGAGCTGAGGATGCGGACACCTCAGATATGGATACCACCTTTTCCGGCACAGGCTTGGACTCCCCCTTACTAGTCTTGGTAGAGCTGGTGATGTCAGAGAGCCTGGACTTGGGCTGTGCTGTGCGGTTGGTACCATTGCTGAGGTGGGGGAGTTGAATGATGGATAGTTCTATAGAGGCGGTGGATTCCCCTGCGGCGTTGGCTGCGATGCAATTGAAGGTGCCGTAATCCTTGGACGTGGTAATGGTAATATCCAGAGTGCCGTTCTCATACACTGTCGCTCTGGACGAATTGCTGATCAAACGGTCATCCGGGGCAACCCAGTGTATGATCGGCATCGGGTCGCCGACGGCTTTGCAGCGCAGGCTAGCTGTTTGGCCCTCCAGCACTAAAAGCTTGTGTGTGTGTTGGGTGATCAGGGGCGGTTCACAGACAAACTCCTCCTCCCGCACGTACCAGAAGTAGTGCCCCTTTAGACTGGGGGGTGAAGCGCAGGTTTCCATATCGTCCTCTCGTTCCAGCCTCCGGAGCCAAAGCACTTCACAGTTGCAGTGCAGGGGGTTTCCGCCGAAGCTCAGGGAAAGCTGAGGGGCATAGGGAGTGCTCAGTATTACATTAGTCTGAGAACGGGCGAAGATGGGGTCTGGCGGGAGCTTTTGGAGCCGGTTGGAAGTGAGGTCCAGGCGCGCCAGCTTGTCCAGGTCCATAAACGTTCCCTCTGTGATGTGCGAGATGAGGTTATGCTCCAGACTCAACTGATGGAGGTTGACCATTTTGCGGATGGACTCCCAAGGCACGCCCCGCAAGTTGTTGTAGGACAGGTCCAGGTCTTCCAGCGTCAGCATCAGATCGTCAAAGGCCATCTTGGAGATGCGGTTGAGCTGGTTGTTGTTTAGGATGAGGTGCTGCAGGTTGACCAGGCCCCGCAGGTCGTCTGGACCCAGCTCGGTCAGGCGGTTACTGTCCAGGTGCAGAGAGCGCAGGGTCTCCAGGTCGAGGAAGGAGAAAGGCTGGATGGCGCTGATGGTGTTGCGGGACAAGGTGAGGTCCACCAGGCCCGTCATGTTGGCGAAGTCCTGCGGTGTGACCTTGAGGATGAAGTTTCCGCCCAGGCGGAGCTCCACGGTCCGCCGGTCGATGTCTAAAGGCACGAAGAGTAGGCCTTTGGATGGGCAGAGGGTGCCAAGGGACTCGGACAGGTTCTGGCAGACACAGTACTTGGGGCATGCGTGGGCCATCATCACTGCGGTTCCCAGAAGCAGGAGGCTGCTGAGCACTTTGTCCATGGTAGATCATACGCAGGGACCTAAGAAAGACAGAGGAGAAGAGAAGAGCATGGTACGATCATTTTGTCCAAGTAATGACGAAAGACCTTACAGAACAAGGAGGCACAGATGTTAAAATTACATACTTTCATCGGTGGTATTAAGTTCATCACATGAAATACTCATTAGTGTAATATCCTGTGGTGTACCCTTGGTAATGTACAACTATGACTTATGGCTATAAGTAAATAACTAGTAAATAACTACTAGAGAGACAGCGCTGAACTTGAACTTGGTTTGCTCCATGACTGCCATACAATACAACCCCCGAGCACCCCAACCGTGCGCATTGGGCTAGTACATCATGTTATAGGCTTTGTGGTTTTGCACGATTTCGAGGTTGGTTCTCTTTGGGTGTGGCTTGCCCTGATTGGAATCATCCTTGTTGGTCAGGATGTGTTGCACCTGTCGCCTCGGTAGTCAGTCGTTAGTTTCACCTGTGCTGGCATAGGTGATATTTAAGGGCTGCAGATCCAGTGCTCTTTTACTCCATATTATAGTTTTTTTTAATTTATTTTTTAAATGCCTTTTCTATGGCAAATTTTGTCTGCACTTATGGTTGGTGTCTTTTAGGGCCCATATTTCTTGTTGCTTTCAACTTTCAATGAACACCCCCATAGGTGTCTTTGAGAACCCCTTCGAAAACCTACCTGTTTCGTCATATTTGTTTCAATGACACATTTGTTAGCTCCCTTTTTATGTTGAGCGATGATTTTGGGTTGGTTATTGGGGAACGTAACAATCACACTCCTTCCCTATAAGCAACAATGTCTCCACCCCCACTGTACACCACTGTACTCAATACCTAGCCCTCAAACTGAGCTCTAAAAGTCCATGATGCAACGATTCACAGTCTCCCTAACCGTAAGTCCACGACTTAAACAGTCCAAACAGTCTCTTGACTAAAACAGTCTCTTTCAACCTCTTTTTTTTGTGTCTTTGGGCCTTTCCCTTATAAAAATTGTTATTAAGGGTAAGTCTCATAGGGACTTGCTGTGGGGTTTGAGGTGGCCATCTGCCCTTGTTTCCCTTGCTTTAATTCTGTCTCTGGCATATGTGGCAGAGGAGTCACTGCTGGTGATCCCTCTAGTAGTGGTGGGGCCTCCAGGCCCTGGGGTTGAGACTGACCTTTGTCCTCCATGTCTTGCCAAGCTCCCTTCCACAGATGATCCAGGTGCACGAGCCTCAGCTCCACGCCGATTCAGACCACAAATGATCAAAGTCCCCTCCTTTGCTCTACAACTCCTTTCACCCATTTACACCCCCCTCCTCTCCAGTTTTTCACCCAAACTTTATCACCTTCCACAATCTGCCGTTCTGTGTGGTGTGTCACATCATTAGATGCTTTTTGTCTGTCCTGCTGTGCCTCTATAGTTTTTTCCAGGTGTGGTTTTAATAAAGTCATTTGTGTGCGGTTCTCCCACTTGAGGAACAGTTCCGCAGGTATCCTCCCAGTCACCGAGTGGGGTGAGCTCGTGTAGGTGATGAGGAAATTTGCCAAGCGGTGTTTCAGGGTACCGGTGAGTCTGTGTTTGTGCTCCTGTAGAACATAATTAGCCAAAGCTTGCTTCAGTATCTGCACTGAGTGATCTTCTGCCCCATTTGTGGCTGGGTGGTACAGTGGGGACAGGGTGTGTTTGATGCCGTTTGCTCTGGTCCACTAGGCCCACTCTGTAGACTGGAACTGGGTAACATTATCCGAGACCACCTCCTCAGGAATCCCATAGGCTGCTAAAATCCTCCTCAGACAGTCGATCGTACTGGTGGATGTAGTCGACATCATGGGTTCCACTTCAATTAATTTTTAATGGCTGTCAATCAACACAAGGAAATGCTGTTGATGTGCACATGCTGCCACACTCAATTTGGCCATTTCCAGCAGTGTAGCAGTGCTGGGTTTGGCAGGTTCCTCACTGACATACAAATGTTACATTGTAACCCTAACCCTTTGTTTACAATGTCTTTATCTAGCCATGGCCACCACACATGGTTTCATGCCAGTGCCTTCATGCGGCACATTCCAGGGTGCCCCTCATGCAGGTCATTGAGTAGCTTTGCTTGCTTTTCTGTTGGTATGATTACCCGGCGACCCCAGAGTAGATAGCCTTACTCAGTTGATAGTTGCAGTCTTTGGTGAATTATCCCTCAGGGTTCACACAAGGTGCTTGAGGTGCTTTCAAGTAATTCAATTTTGGCATTCTGAAATTCAAGTACTGGATTACCTTGAAAATCATATATTTTTTCAAGTTGGTACTTGAAAAGTGCTTGAATTAAAATGAGAGGAGAACAGAAAATTATCAAATATGTTAATATGAAAAATATTTGAAAAATGTACTGGTCTTGCCAATTAATTTCCAGGCAGACTACCAAGTTTTATTTACTCGTGTTTCGCGCTCTGGTTTCCAGGCGAGCGCGCTCATTCCACCCACACTGCCACTCAGCCAGGCAGGTACAGAACTGACTGATTAGGCGCCGCCAAACATCACATCAATAGCTAAAATGCCGGGCAAAAGTAGATTGAATCCTGCCTGGCAAGATATTGATGTTTACTAATGGGTTTTGCTAGACCCAACCAGGGATGTAGTGGAAGGTAAACACACGTAAACGCTGTTTACGCACCTTTTTATTTGTAAAATAGCATTTACTCACCTTTTTATTTAGTTAATTATCATTTACCCACTTATTATTGCGTTCCCAGCATTGATCAGAAGGCTTCTCAGAAGGCTTCTTGATCTGGGTTCTAATCTACCTCTGTGAACGAGTGGAATCATGAAATGATTCATGTATGCTCGTTATGTTTGCTTGCTCCCCCGAATGTAACTTGTTAGCAGGTCATTAATTCACTACTCTGTCCAATGGGAAACTCCACCCACGACATAGGCCGAGAGGTGAAATAAACTCCTCAGCCCAGACCTATGATGGCAAGTAGCAGAGAGACACCACTGACAGAGGGACTTCTTTTAACATCCCTTGACTCCTGCCGTGTCAACAGACATCCCCCAAACAAACCCCCCCGACACTCGGAGAATGAGTGTACGACTGGTAAATAGTCGCTGATATTTCAGTCAGATGTCTAGCTAGCTAGGTAGCTCAAGGGCTCTGGCGATTAACCAGGTAGCTAGCTATAACTAGCTGGCTAGAAGGATGACGTTAGAAGCTAACGATGAACGGAGCCTGACCTCAGCAGCAGCAGTTGACTGAAATTAAGCTAGCTATAATCAAAAGCATGGCAAATCCAGAAAATCCCATTGTAGGATTTTTAATGAATTTATTTGCAAATTATGGTGGAAAATAAGTATTTGGTCACCTACAAACAAGCAAGATTTCTGGCTCTCACAGACCTGTAACTTCTTCTTTAAGAGGCTCCTCTGTCCTCCACTCGTTACCTGTATTAATGGCACCTGTTTGAACTTGTTATCAGTATAAAAGACACCTGTCCACAACCTCAAACAGTCACACTCCAAACTCCACAATGGCCAAGACCAAAGAGCTGTCAAAGGACACCAAAAACAAAATTGTAGACCTGCACCAGGCTGGGAAGACTGAATCTGCAATAGGTAAGCAGCTTGGTTTGAAGAAATCAACTTTGGGAGCAATTATTAGGAAATGGAAGACATACAAGACCACTGATAATCTCCCTCGATCTGGGGCTCCACGCAAGATCTCACCCCGTGGGGTCAAAATGATCACAAGAACGGTGAGCAAAAATCCCAGAACCACACGGGGGGACCTAGTGAATGACCTGCAGAGAGCTGGGACCAAAGTAACAAAGCCTACCATCAGTAACACACTACGCCGCCAGGGACTCAAATCCTGCAGTGCCAGACGTGTCCCCCTGCTTAAGCCAGTACATGTCCAGGCCCGTCTGAAGTGCATTTGGATGATCCAGAAGAGGATTGGGAGAATGTCATATGGTCAGATGAAACCAAAATATAACTTTTTGGTAAAAACTCAACTCGTCATGTTTGGAGGACAAAGAATGCTGAGTTGCATCCAAAGAACACCATACCTACTGTGAAGCAAGGGGTTGGAAACATCATGCTTTGGGGCTGTTTTTCTGCAAAGGGACCAGGACGACTGATCCGTGTAAAGGAAAGAATGAATGGGGCCATGTATCGTGAGATTTTGAGTGAAACCCTCCTTCCATCAGCAAGGGCATTGAAGATGAAACGTGGCTGGGTCTTTCAGCATGACAATGATCCCAAACACACCGCCCGGGCAACGAAGGAGTGGCTTCGTAAGAAGCATTTCAAGGTCCTGGAGTGGCCTAGCCAGTCTCCAGATCTCAACCCCATAGAAAATCTTTGGAGGGAGTTGAAAGTCTGTGTTGCCCAGCGACAGCCCCAAAACATCACTGCTGTAGAGGAGATCTGCATGGAGGAATGGGCCAAAATACCAGCAACAGTGTGTGAAAACCTTGTGAAGACTTACAGAAAACGTTTGACCTGTGTCATTGCCAACAAAGGGTATATAACAAAGTATTGAGAAACTTTTGTTATTGACCAAATACTTATTTTCCACCATCATATGCCAATAAATTCATTAAAAATCCTACAATGTGATTTTCTGGATTTTCTTTTCTCATTTTGTCTGTCATAGTTGACGTGTACCTATGATGAAAATTACAGGCCTCTCTCATCTTTTTAAGTGGGAGAACTTGCACAATTGGTGGCTGACTAAATACTTTTTTTCCCCACTGTATATGTTCTCATAACAAAATACCTTTTCTATAAAGAAATAGAGAGTAGTGAGACAGACAGTGGTGAGTCATGCTGCATTGAAGCAAGCAGGGAGAAAGGTTAGTACTACAGTGGTTCCCAAACATGGAGTACGGGACCCTTGTGGGGTCTCCTAAAGTTGAAATAGGGTCCCCTAAGAGAGTCTTTAATCTTATCAAACACATTAATAACTTGTTTCTCCTCAAATGGGTATAGAATACACTATTCTAGAGTCAACTAAGG